CCAAGTCCCGCTCCACGCGCTACCAGGCGGTGAGGGGCAGCCGAGACCGGACCGTGAAGGAGTGGGACCTGGGCAAAGGGGCCTGTAAGTGGCTGCAGCGGGCGCTGCGGGAGGGGGAGCTTGGCTGTGCCAGCTGCGTAACCTCCCCCATGCCAGCCTGACTCCCCAGGTCACCAACCGTGGCTGCTGCCAGCACCGTCCACCAAAGAGCAGGCCAGGGAGTGCCCGCAGCTCAGAGTGACGGCCGTGCCCCAATACCAGGGCTCCCTCCCGTGGGCACTGTGACTGCCTGCATGGGGAAACTGAGGCACACTGCAGGGAAGTGCCTTGCCTGGGCCTGTGGCACCGGTGTTCAGACTTGCAAGCCCGTGCCATGGTGGCATGGCAGTGCCAGTGCTACCACAGTTTCCCCCCTTTAGCCCATGCCCATTCTGTGGTACAGTACATCTCCTTGGGGGGGTCTGCACATGGCTCCTGTCACCCTGGTGCGGCTGTTGCTGTATCACGGCAGCCCCCAGATGACCCGGCTCCCCACCCCTCTGTCCCAGACAGGGATGCACAGGCAGCTTGGTATGTCCCTAGCAGTTCTCTGAGCTGCACATGGCATCCCCTGGCCCAGCTCAGTGGTTCAATGCCCCATGGGGGCTGTCGTATGGGAAGGAATAGGCTGCTGCAGAGGTGGGTGACCCCAACCTGTCAGACCCCCGGAGCCACGAGTGCCCGGCAGTCTCTCTGAGTAAAAACCATGCCCTGCAAGTGCCTGGCCTCTGCCAGGGCCCTGCCGTGCCGAGCCAGACCGTTATGGCACAGTACGGCACTCACAGCGGCACTGCTCCCGCAGGCTGCCGCACCATCGACGTGTGCTCCTACTGCAACGACGTGGTGTGCTGGGAGAACATCATCGTCAGCGGGCACCACGACAAGAAGATCCGCTTCTGGGACAGCAGGTGACTCCCCTCTGCCCGGGGCTGGCTGGACAGCTGGGCCCTGTGCTGAATCAAACCTATGGGGAAACTGAGGCACAGTGCAGCGACAGCTCATGGGCCACAGAGGGAGGCAGTGTCAGAGCCAGGGTCACGGGCCACCAGGTTTCAGCCCTCTTGGCCTGGCTTTGGGCTGCAAGGGGCTCAGTGCCCAGCTGTATCCCTGCCCCTGGGCAGGTGTCTCCATGTTGGTGCCTCATTCCCCTGCTGGAGGGCTGGGCTGGCCTGTCCCCTTTGCCGGAGTAGCCAGGGGGGGTCTGTCTATGACTGCCCCGATCCTGTCGTATACGCCCGATGAGGGCTCAGAGCACCGGGCACCGGGGCTGGGACGGAGACCGCGGCCGTGCCCTGAGCAGTTCTTGCAAGGAGAGCAGGGTGCAAAGGGGCAGGTCAGCTGGGTCGCTCCGTGCCTGGTATCCCTGGTGTCTGTAAGCACGGCCACAGCACAGGAGAGACCGCTGGTGCCCGCAGCACGTGGGGGCCAGGGGCATGATACCAGAGCTGCTCAGGATATCAGAGGGGGTCTCAGCTGGATGGCGCTCAGCCCTTCCCTAGCAATCAAGTGGGTTGTAGCATCATTGAATCATAGGCAACGAGGGCTGGAAGGGACCAAAGGAGGTCGCATCTAGTGCAACCCCCTGCTCCAAGCAGGACCAGCCCCACCTATATCATCCCAGCCAAGGCTTTGCCTAGCCGGGTCTTAAACACCTCCAAGGATGGAAAGTCCACCACTTCTCTGGGTAACCCGTTCCAGCGCTTTGCTATGCTCCTAGTGAAAAAAATATTCTTGATATCTTACCTAAATTTCCCTTGCTGCAGCTGGAGCCCATTGCTCCTTGTCCTGTCATCTGCCCCCACTGAGACCAGTCCAGCTCCATCCTCTTTGCATCCCCCTGCAGGGAGGTGAAGGCTGCGATTCAATCCCCCTCGGTCTTCTCTTCTGCAGACTACATCAGACCAGTTCCCTCAGCCTCTCCTCACCAGCCATGTCCTCCAACCCCCAAACATTTTCATTGCCCTCCACTGGACTCTCTCCAATGTGCCCACATCCTTTCTGTAGTGGGGGCCCACAACTGGACACAGGACTCCAGATGTGGCCTCCCCAGTGCTAAACAGAGGGGAAGAATCACTGCCCTCCATCTGCTGGCAACACTCCTACCAATGCAGCCCAGGATGCCGTTAGCTTTTTTGGCAACCCTGCTGGCTCCTGTTCAGCTTCTTGGCCCCTGTCCATGCAGTTTGCTTCTGCTATCAGGCACCGCAGTTCCTGGCTGGGCCCCGGGGAGGGTGTAGAGCGAGAAGGCTTTGTGGATCTTAGGAGGCGGCTCTGTGCAAGACCACCAGGCACAGGGCTGTGCAGGGATGCTGGGACCCTCTTTGCACTGCTGCCTCCGTGTAACGCCTCCCACGTGCCACCCCAGGGGCCCGCGGTGCACCGAGGTGATCCCGGTGGAGGGGAAGGTGACCTCCCTGCACATCAGCCAGGACCAGATGCACTTGCTGAGCTGCTCCCGTGACAACACGCTCAAAGTCATCGACCTCAAGATGAACAACGTCCGGCAGGTCTTCAGGTGGGCGCCTTGCATGGGGGGCATAGGTGGCCTGTCCCTCCCACCATGCAAGCCAGGCTCAGGGGGCTCCTGCTCCCCTGCCAGCCCCTGGCCTGGTCCCTTCCGTCCCGTCTGCATTGGGCTGTCCCCAGCCATGATGCTGAGGCTCGTCTGTGCTTGGGGCAGGCAGAAGGGAGCTGTCCTGGCACCCTCTCCTGCACCCCGGCCCCTCCTGCCCTGCATGGGGGTCTCCTGGACAGTGTCAGACCTCTGCCCCATTCCCTTTACCTGGGTCTCCTTGTGTTCACAGCGCTGACGGCTTCAAGTGTGGATCCGACTGGACCAAGGCAATATTCAGGTGAGCCCCGGGGGCAGCGTGCAGTGATTCTGCGTGGGGGACATTGCCTTGAGCCAGCCTCACCCCATGCCCAGCTGCTGGGGGGTGGGCAGGTGATGGGTGCTGCTGTGCCCCAGCAGGTCAGGCCCCACCAGCCCAGCCCCGTGCCTGGCGTCTCCTACCCCATCTGCCCTTCCCCGCTTTCTTCTCTCTCCCCCAGCCCCGATAAGAGCTACATCCTGGCGGGCTCCTCGGACGGGACCCTCTACGTGTGGAGCATGGAGAACGGGAAGTTGGTGACAAGCCTGCCGGGGTTGCACGGGTGAGGGGCCACAGGGGCTATCTGGAGTGGGGGTAGCACCCCTGGTGAAGTTTTTTGGGGTGGGCTGGAGCCGGGTGCAGGGGCGAGTGGTGCCCTAGCCTCTGGGCAGCATGCAGGGCAGAGCATGGGCTCTGCCCATCAGGGAGTGGTGCGGGGAGCTGCACATCCTGGGATCTCTGCAGCAGCCGTCACTGCCTCATCAGGGGTCAATATTGGATGGTGATGAGCAGACCCGTGCGGTCCCTTGATTCCCGCTGCAGGCCACTACAGCATTATGCCTACGTCTCCTGTGCCTCAGTTTCCCCATGAGGTAGCAGTCTCCTCCTGCAACTCCCTCCTTTGTGCTCCCCGCAGAGCCTCCGTGAATGCCGTGGCCTGGTCCCCCTCAGGCCAGCACGTCGTGAGCGTGGACCAGGGGAAGAAGGTGGTGCTCTGGAAATAGCTCCTGGCCAGCTCCTAGCCCACCCTCCGCCGCCTGCCGCACCCAGCTGACGGCTCCCTGGCTGCAGCCCAATCCACGGATGCAGCAAAGAGACAGAGACTGAAGGGCTGGGGCTAGGGCACCTGCCACCCACATGCTGCTCAGCCCTGCCAGCTGCCACAATGCCCAGCGCCCATGCGGTCTGCCCAAAGCAGGCACCTTTCTCTTAGAGGCAGGTGGGGGCTTGGCAGGAGTGGAGGGGCTGCAGGACGGACCCGGAGCCCAAACCCGCTCTGCCTGCTGTTCCTGGCACGCTGCGGTGGCTGCAGAAGGCACAGCTGGCACTGAGCCCGTAGCATGGAGGGGACAAGTCGGCTCTGAGGGGAGCACTGGGACTCGAATCACAATGTGAAGTCCTCCTGACCTCTGACTTCCACCTCCAGCCGGCTCCGAGATCCCCAAACCCCAGGCCCAGGTGAGGGCAGGGCAGAGCAGAGCTCCTGTCTGCTCCCCTGGCGCTGGCCTGGGAGCCCCGTGTGCGGACACAGATGCTTACTATTCAGACCCTGTGCTGGGGGCACATGCGTGTGCAGCCTGTGTGCCCCCGCGGGGGACTGTTGTGTTCTCGCACCGACCAATACAGCTTGGAAACACGGCCTGGATGCCTCTGTGGTGCTCGCCAGCCGTGTCGTTCCCACGATGGTTTCTGCACTGCCGCGTCCCACCCCAGAGGCAGCTGCATTGTCATGGTGCTGCTCGCTCTGTGGGGCTTTGTGCGCGGGGTGGTACTGCAGGAGCCCAGGAGGCTATTGGCCCTGGCCAGGGAAGGGGTAAAGGCACAGAGAGAGGGACAGAGGGGGCCAGACCCACTCGACCCAGGACTCAGGTGGGCACCACCTTCCCCTGCTGTGGCCTGAAGTCGGCTGCACATGGGAGGGTGTTTTGGGCTGCAGCTGCTCTGGGGATTTGAGACACCTACCCATGCACCCACCTACCTCCATCTACAGCCTAGGCGCTGTGGCCATTGATTCCCCGGTCCTTTCCTGGCCTGGCAGCAGGTACCATGGGGTGACGCAGCCTGAGCTCCTGCTCTGCCCATGCCTGGGGCTTTTGCCCTGTCCCGCCCAGGCTCCCAGACAGGCTCTGGCTTGGCCTTGAAGGTGCCCAGAGCTGGGAAAGCCACGGCCCTGGAAGCTGGGCCTGGCCATGACCTCCCTGCCCCTCTTCCAGCTCCTGGCATTGAATGCTGACTCCTGGTGTGTGCATGCCCGGCTTTGCTCTGCCCATCTGCACTCAGCAGCCCCATTGCCCCCTGGCCAGGGAGGTCCTTGGAGAGATGGTCGTTGAGCCCATGTTGGCATCAGGGGGTGGGGATCAGCCCATCAGCCTCTGCTCTGGTCACGGCCTGACTCGGTCCCCAGAGCACCTTGCTGGCTCTGAGGAGGTGCCGGATGCAGGGGACCTCCGTGCAGGGCAGGAGCGTGGGTGCAGCCATGCACGGGCACCAGGGACCCCCACCCTCGCCTGCTCAGCACAGGGCCCCAGTGGCTCCTTCAGGGCAGGGGTGCAGCTCTGGGAAGTGAGGGTGCCCCTTGGCACTGCTCCCACACAGTGTTGGTGTCTCAGTGTTGGTGAAACCCCCTGCAAGGCTCCTTCCCGGCTCTGCTGCCCGGCAGCCTCTGGAAGCCAAGGGTAGGGACAGATGGTCACCGGCCCATGGTCACTGCAGGGACAGTGATGGGATGACCCCAGAGTTGCTACCCCCAGGTTGCCTCTGGGGGCTTTGATTTTACCCAGGGAGTGACAAGAAAGCAAGTTCCTCCAAACTATGGCTGCACTAGGTGACCTCTCGAGGTCCCTTCCCGCCCTACTTTTCTCTGGTCGATGCTATGATACACCGGTTTATTGGGATCTTAGCAGTCAGGCAACACGAGGCAAGAGCGGCTGCACGCAGCAGGGAGTGCACAGCCGTACGCGCCACTGGGAAACGGGGACTCGGGCTTCCCTGAATCCATCCTCGTGGTGGAGGCAAGTTCCAGACTCAGTCCAGCCTCAGATTTCTGTAGTCGCGCCCATTTCTCTGAGAGAAAATCCTTTGGCTCTTGGAGTAGAGAGCAGGGAAACTGAGTCACGGCCTGTGAGCATTGTTTTTCCCTGGGCTGTGATCGCTCGCCCTCGCATGTCCCTCGCCTTCTGCCTTGTCTCTCGTGCTAATCACTGAACTGCTTCTGGGATCGGAGGGTCACCCCTGACGCAGCAAACGGGGGTGTCAAGGACTCCCCGACAGCTGGACATGCAGCTGCTTTCCCTGCCTTTGGGAGGGGCTGGCTGGCCTGGAGAAAACAGCTGCCCCAGGTGAGTGTGGACAGATGTTGCCTCAACACCCCCCCCCCCCCCAATGGCTTCTGGGCCAGCCCCGTGGTACAGGCCTGCCTCGGTTTCCCTCTCTCTGCACCACTGAGCAGCCCCCTGGCCTGCTGTCAAGGAAGGGAGAGGAGAAAGCGATGCCCACCTGTCTGCCCTTGGCTGGGCCAACCTGCACCGTGCAGCCCTGTGCCACTCCTGCCTTCCCGGGGGAGACGGGTCCTCTGCTCCAGGCCCTCCCAGCACGGACCTGCCAGCTCCTGGCCCCCTGCCTGGCTCTGCCCTCAAGCCCAGTGCAGTGCCACGGCCAGCTGGCTTCATGCGGCAGAAAGCAGGGCCGCGCGCGCGTGTGGCGGTGGGGAAGATGGGGAGAGAGAAAGTGTGAGGTTTCAGGTCTGTGTGTTCAGACCTTTGACGGCTGGTTTCGTGCCTCGGTTTCCCCCGTGCACAAAAAGGCCGAGCCCTAGGGCCACCGGGAGACTCGGTGTGTGCTCACACCAAGCCCCTGTCCTGGGAGAGCACCACGCCATGGGCAGGGAGCCCTGGAAGGTATTCTCATCCGCCTGCGTCTTGCTGAGCAGCTTTGGGCTTTGCCTTGTGCCTCAGTTTCCCCTGGCACAAAGCAGGTCCGCCAAGCAGAGGCTCCTGAGCCTTGGGACTGGTGTGCACGGGAGTCGACTGAGCAAGGCAGGCAGGGCAAGTCATGCCAGGCCCTTCTGCAACCCCTAGACTTCGACCATGGCAGGGGGTGGAAGCAGCCCCATGCCACAACCACACACCATGATCCTGGAGCTAAAAGTGGGTGGTGCGCAGTCCTGAGTCCAGGGAAGAGCATGGCCCCTCCAAACCTGCCCCCATGTGACCCTGCATGCACGTGTCAGTGTGCATGTGTGGATGTGCACGTTCACACGCATGTGGGTGTCTGCGGGGTTTGTGTTGAACCACTCTAGGATTCAGAGGCAAGGATGGGAGAATGTGTCTGTCCTGTGTGGGGGGACGATGGGAAGGCGTTGGAGGACTATGCTACAAAATGCACCCGTGAAGCTGAATCCTTCGAGGGCCAAGGGCTCCAGTCCAGGGCTGCGAGCAGCCAGGTGAGCTGGCCCAGGTATAAAATCTGCCCACCCCGGCGGTGGAGGCCGTTCAGTGTGGACAGGCAGGGGGAGCGAGGAGACGGGCAGGGGCTGCTCCAGTCTCACTGTGGTGCGATGCTGGGAGAGGGGGATTTGCTGGTGAAGTCTGAGAGGAGCTGGAGGATGGCTATGCTGGGAGGGAGAGGAAAGGATAATGCTTTGGTGTGTGGGGAGCAGTAGGGGGTTGTTTCCTAGTCACCCCCTCTGTGCCCCAGCTCTCAGGCTCGTCCCCCCTCAAGGACACGGACTGGAGGCATTTTGAGGCTGTGGTTTGGCAACATCTCCGCTAGCCAATTCGGGGGCGTCAGCCACAAGCATCGCATTCACGGGTGCCCTGAGCTCCACGCACAAGGGATCGTGGCCCGGGGGAGACACAAGCAGCCACGAGTCCCACGGGAAGTCGGCTCCCAGCGTGGTGTTAAAACACCCGGCGTGATGGCTGCAGAGGGTGTCATCGCCATCAGGATGCGGCTGAAGCCGAGACGGCGGATTGGGTGCAATCATCTCCTGACAGACCCACTCTGGGATTTCCAAGACAGCCCAGGGGATTTAGCCGCCTCTCCCTGTCTCTTGGAGGAGATGCAGGCTCCTCATGACACCTGCCTGGTCCACTCCCAGGTATCAGCTGGGAATCAGTGGCTCTTGTATCTCCACCACCAAAGGATCCTGCCGGTGCAAGGCAGCTCCTGCTTCCACTTCTCCAGCGTCCGCTCCCGTCCACACAGCTGCTGGGTGCAACCAAGGGCCGGACGTGACCTTGGCCTTGGAGCCTCAGCACACGATTCAGCTGGCGGCAGAGCAAGAACGCTATGTTTGTCTAGGGCATATCCTAAATAAACGGCTCTAGCCACGAGCGTGGGAAAGCGTGCAGCAGACAGATGCTTTAGATGCACACTTGCGGGTTCAACACGCTCACGTGGCTTGCAGCAGGGAAGTTCGCATCAGGGCAGCCCAAGCCATGCGTGGGGCTCAGCGCAGAAAGGCCTCTATGGGAGAGCTCCCCACCAAAAGCACCTTCCTCCTCCACGCTCAGAGGTCCCCCATGCAGGGGCAAACCCAGCTTGATGCCCTGGCTACAGCCACCCGCGGGCACCAAAGGGAGACGGGAACCAGGAGCTCCGTGGCCTGTCCCGGCTCAGCAGCGCCAGCCCCTTGGGAGCTGTAGAGAGGAGGGAAATGCCTTTCCCTGTCCTAGCAAGGTCTCCAGCAGACTTAGCCCTGCTGCTGGGACCCGGAGCCCAGTGACCGACTCGGCCACACTTGCCAGTCCCTTCTAGCGGCATCACCTGGGCTTTTCTTGAGGGCAGGCAGGGAAAGCCCCCTCTACCCCCGGTCCCTGACTGCTGCTAATGAGCAAGCGGAGTGGGGACACCTGGCTGGGTGAGCACTGTATAAAATGGAGACGTGCTCTTGCCTTTATTTCTCTTTTTGCTGCTGATAGCAGCTTCCCCCTTGAGCTGGGCAGCAAGGAGCCTGCAGAGGTGAAGCCAGGGAAAGGCCTTTGTATGAGGCTGGATGTGGCTCGAGCAGCATCGTCTGAGCCTGGAAGGGGTAGCGGTGTTGCAAGCTGCAGGGTTTGGCCTGCACAGCACCCCTTGCCCTCCCTGTGTGTGTGTTTGCAGGGGGCAGGCAGATCATGACCCCCTCCAGGGGCTGCGTGCTGCTCAGGGAGAGGTGCCAGACCCCTTCCAGGAGCTGCCAGGATGGCACTGGGCAGAGCTGGAAAAACCCTGTGGCTTCCTTCGGTACGTGCCTGGTGCCCTGGGGATGTGAGAGGTGCCTGCTCCCTGCTCTGCATCTGGTCGAGGAGCTCCCTGCCGGGCCCAGCACCTGCCCGGCCACCTTGCCAGCACTGCCACTGAAGCCAGGTAAGTCACTGACTCAACCCTTGCTCCCTGCGAGCTCTCCAGTCCTGGGTGCTGCCCATGTGCTGTGTGTCTCAGCTGCTCACACCTGCCACCCCAGAGCCGTGGAGGTGGGGCTGCTCTGGAGCATCGCCCTCCAGCTGCTCCAGAGGTGCAGCGTGGGGTCAATGCTGGATGGCCCTGCGGCTGGCTCTCGGTAGGGCATTGCACCATTAGCTTGCGATGCATGGAGGATGCTAGTGAAAGCCTCACGCTGGCACGGCATGGGTGCAGCTGCATGGGCAGAGGGG